CTCCTGTGGGCAGGTGCCAGGTGCTGACTGAACAGTTTTTTTGTTAATCATCAGTAAGGGAAAAGGGTTTTGTTAATCATTGGTAATCATCATTTGCTAACTGCCACATCCCCTGCAACACTCTTTATTAGCTCACTGTACCACGGAGGGAGCAGAGTGGCATAAGCTGGCTCCTGTCCCAGGTGGAGTACATTTGGTATCAATCTGCCTGGGACAGGAGCCGGCACTACAGAGGATGCATCGGCTTATGCGGCTCTGCTCCCTCTGCAGGGAGCAGAGGGAGCAGAGCTGCATAAGCATGTTTCCTCCACACAGTGCATTAAGTTTAAGTTAAAAAATAAAGTTTACAAAGGCTCTTTATGTTCCCCACTGGCCCTGGGAATAAACACAGCTAGGTCTTATTTTTGGGGTAGGTCTTATATTTTAGCAAGTACCAGAAATAGTACTAGGTCTTATTTTTGGGATAGGTCTTATTTTTGGGGAAACATGGTAGTACTTCACAGGATTTGGAAATGATACTTCTATTAATGCAGTCTAAATTAGCATTTGCCTTTTTTGCAGCCGCATCACATTGTTGACTCATATTCAGCTTGTGATCTACAACAATTCCAAGATCCTTCTTGCTTGCAGTATTATTGAGCAAAGTAGTCTCCATCATATAACAATGCATTTAGTTTCTTTTTCATTGGTGCAGAGCTTGGCATTTATCCCTATTGAATGTCATTCAGTTCCAATGACCAGTACTCCCAGCCTATCAAGATCTCCTTGGCTCTTCTTTCTGTATAACAGTGTATTAGCTATCCCACCCAGTGTGGTGTTGTCTGCACATATGATAATCATTCCTGCACTTCCTTATCTAAACCATCAATAAAACTGTTGATGAGCACCGGGCTCCGGACTGACCCCTATGGTACTCTACTTGTTGCCTGTCCCCAGTTTGAGGAGGTCCCGTTGATGAGCACTCTTTGAGTCCAATTCTGTAGCCGACAGTGGATCAACCTGATCATTGTTCCATTAGCCCACTTTTAGCTAGCTTGCTAATCAGGAAATATAAAATCTTAACTTAGATTCAAATATCAGATAAATATAATACAGTGGTACCTTGGCTCATGAACTTAATCCGTTCCAGGACGCTGGTCGCGACCCAAATTGGTTGTGAGGCAAGTCATATTTCCCCATAAGGTTCAGTTAAGGTTAATCTGTTCTGTAACCATTTTTTTAATCAGAAAAATGTGAAGCAGCATGACAAAGTACAACAAAGATCACGGCCATCTCGCCCAAGCACGAGCGCGGCCATCTCTCTCCCCCCTCCCCGAGCACAACCGCGATCACGCCCGTGTTCCCTGCACAAGCGCGACCATGATTTTGGCCATAGACGGGCACGATCATGGGTGCGCTCGGTGGGGAGGGGAAGATGGGTGCAATCACGGGCGTGCTCCACCCAATGCGGAGTTCATGACCTGAGTAAATTTTTTTCTTAAATTTTGTTCACGACCCAATTTGGTCATGAACTGAGGCGTTCGTGAGCCAACGTACCACTGTACTTGAACAGTACAGCTTAACATCAAGATTTGCCTTCCATTGCTGGAAAGACTCTGCTCATAGAAGGGCTTCCATCGGATTTTCCAGGAACTGCCCTTCCTCAGGCATCCCCTGAGCATCTGTGGAGCTTTTTCCAAGGCTGGTGTTGGTGGGAATTGGTGGAGAAATCCAGTTACACCAATCCAGTTGCATAGTGCCCTGGGTCAACTCTTTCCTATATTACATAGGGGAATAGATAACTACTTATGAAATATAAAGGCTGTTAGTTTGAAATGTCTGTTTATAAATGTGTGGTGCACATAAAATGATACTGGATGTGATCCTTACATAAGTTTAACAGCAGAAGTTGAAAACATAAACTCTTGTAGCAGGATCTATTTTCTGTGGAAGATGAAGGTTTCCTTTTATCCTGTGAAATAAAGCAATATTTATATGGCTGTTTTGTGCAGTTGATATTCTCTGTACCAGTGACACACACTGAAATTGTGGCAGTTGTTACTTTCTAGGAGAGTGCTGGTTATAACAAGAGCTCCTTGTTTTTTGTAGCAAATGCTTGTGAAAATTTCTGGTTAATTAGGGACATGGGCTCTAATTATAAACACTTCTGTTTTTGTGCAGATTATCACTTCTTCTATTTTTGCTTTGAAAAAAGCAGCTTCTTGATGCTACATTTGGAAGTCAGTGGTAAACAATTACAGCAAGTGAACTGTGAAGTTTTATTCTTATCCATTATGGTTTTATTAGTATTTTGTGAACTGCCCAAACAGCTCTAGCTGTCAGCTGATAGACAGATAAATAAACATAGGTTTGTATTCTGTGGGATTGTTCTTGTCCATTAGGTTGGGATGTGCAACCCACAACCTAGGCTGCATGTGGCCCCCAACTATGGATTTTATGGCCCTTTGCACTTCCCTTTACAGCTCAGCTCATCAGGTGGGCTGCAGAAAAAGACTATAGACAGGAGAACTTTGGAATGGAAGCTAAATAAAGAAAGCTTTCTTTAGCCATGAGCAAAAAACAAAACAAAACAAAACCATTCTTTTCTTTGATTCATGAGTGGAGACAAGAGTAATGTAAAGATTTACTCTGTTGGATATTTAAAGTTTAAAGACTTTAATGTTAGAATATAGCTGTGCCTTGCATGCCTGAAAGCTGTTGTGTGACGTGTACTCCTGGAAAAACATGTATAAGAGTGAGCTGTGCTTTCTATGCGTTAGGGGAAAATGTTAGTATTGGTAAGAATTCCATTTGTATATGTGTAAGTGTGTGTGTGTGCATGTGTGCTTGTATGCAGACAAACTCCTGATGGAGCCTTCAGGGTCCCACCTAACTCTTCCTCTAATACATGTAAAGTGTGCTGTCATATTTTTTTGCACAGAAAAGTATGCTGCCAGTAGTGGTAACGGGATATTAAAAGGGGGAAAATAA